GGCAGCGAGGAGGCAGCCACCACAGGGGTACAGACAGCGCTGCGGCGTGGCCACGACGACCTCGCTGTGCGGCACTCAGCTGTAAAGGATCTCACACCCTCCCACGTCTCCGTGCCCTCGGCCAGCGCTGCTGGACCCCAGCTCTGGGCGGTCTGAGACACAGAAATGTTTTATTCTTCCAAGATCCTTTTTTTTTTTTTCTTTCTTTCTCCTTCTTCGGTTCTTTTTTTTTTTTTTTTTTTTTTTTTCTTTTTTTTTTTCCTTTTTTTTTGTACAAAATCTCCTCCCTGTGCCTGCAGACAGAGCCTGGCCACCTCCCGAGCTCAGCCAGGTCTCAGCGTCCCTTCCAGCCCAGCCCAGCTGTCCCCAACCCCGCTGCAGCCCAGCGGGGACCTGTCCTTGCAGGGGCAATCCCAGGGAAGACATGGGGAAGGGCTCTCGGGGTCAGGAGCCACACGATGCCCTGTTGCAGTACGAGAGGGGAAAGCGGCAAATCTAGAGGGACACCTCATTTTGGGGGGCCTGACCCTGCCTCTGTCACCCCAAGACAACCTGGACAGAGACAGGCACTGCAGTGCTGGGGCTCTGGGCATCCCTGGGGGAGCCGAGTACCAAGCAGAGGGTGACGGGACTTGATTTGAGCTCAGCTGGGGAAAAGGAGCCCATGGGGGTGCTGGGCGCGGGCTGGGGGGTGCAGCTCAGGGTGGGCGCAGGGGGGTGACTGGAAGACAGCTGGGCTGCCCCTGCTTTGGGGATGACAGGGGTCTACATCGACACAGATCCTCTGGTTGCCGAAAAGGGCTCAAGGCACCTTGGTTAACGTCCACACGAAGAGGTGTTTGTTCCCGAAATTCCCATGGAAAGAAGAGTACGGAAGGTTCACATTAGCACACGTCAATTGTATATAGTGCAAATCAGAGCCCCGGCGCCAGAGGGTTCACGCTCTGGTTAGTGGTTAGGATGAGCCACGGGTGCGATCCTGGGCACTGCAGCCACTCCAGCCCTCGCTCTTCTCCCGCCGCATCGTCCGCAGCCGTCCGCACCCTTCTGGTGCAGCGTGAGCTCACAGCCCACGGCACCGCCGCACTCGCCCCCGCCTCGCGCCCCGCCGGAGGAGGGGGAGCCAGGCAGCCTTCGCGAGAAGCCACAGAGAGCCCGTCCCTCCCGAGCAAAACACAGGGCTGCTTCTCAAAGGCATCGCTGCCAGGCCGGAGAGGAGCTCTGGGTGCAGTCCCGAAGGCGGCTGGAACCACCCGCAGCACGGCCACAACATCCATCCCAACACCCACCCCCTTCCCCAAGGGTGAGGAAGATCCCAGGAGAAGGGCAGGTCTGCGTCTGGCTGCCACCGCAGTCAGAGGGGCGGAGGCCTCTCACGCACAACCCCAGAGGGGTTTCAGGTCCCAAAGGTTGGGGACTGATCGCAGGCACGGTCGAGGTTTGCAAGGCCACGCCGTGCAGAGGGAGTTTGTGGTTTTCCATCCGTCCCGAGCGGGAGGACATCTTCCAGGTAGCTGCAGGTGCATCCTTTCTCGGAGACCTGCAGAGGCGGCAGCCAAAGGTCCAGGCCATCTCAGGACCATGACTCGAGGAGTGAGGATGATGTGGCGAACGGGAAGCCAGGAGTGAAGAGTGAGTGCTGGGCTCAGGAGAGTCCAGCCACATCCTGGAAGCAGGGGAGCAGAGAACGTCACCGCTCGTCACTGGTTCATGGGCTCCTCTTCCTCCATGGGCTCGTCTTGCGGCCTGCAATGGAGAAACACAACCCATGAGACGAGGAGGAGACCTGTGTGACACCAGACTTCCCTCTCGGCATCAAGGGGCCTTCTGGCAGGTCCAGCTTCTGGAGTCATCCAACAAGCCTCCCAACTTGCCAGCGCTTCCCGCTCCACCGAGACCCACATTGACTCTGGACGAGTCCCGGTGAGGATGAGAAAAGGTGGTGGGGACCCTGCTGAAAGGAGGTGATGCACCCCCACATCTCCAGCTTCCAAAGAAGCGCGGAGGATTTGGTCTCATTCTCATCTCGTTCGGGAAGAGCCCAGCACTGAATCTCCCAGAAGCCAAACCCAAGCCCTGACCGTGTGGACGCGGGACCTCACCCCACCACCCGCCGATGCTGAACGCTGAGGCCAAACCTGGCAGGATGCGAGGGTTACAGCATCAGAGCTCTCCGTGGGGAGGATGGTTGTAATTTCTATCTCCCACACCTCTGTCCTGACCTCCCAGAAGCTCATCTGGCTGTGAGGCATGGCCTTTCTCTGCGGCCATCCTCGTGACACCAAGGCTGAGGGCCAGGCACAGGGAGCGAGGGGCGCCCACACCTCCTAGGATCGATTAAGAGCATCACCTCTTCTCCACCATCACGGCCACCGAGAGGGAGGCCAAGGCTGTGACCGTCTCCACCTCTTCTGCCTCGTGGTGCTGCGCCTCCAGGAAGGAGCAGCCCAGCTTCGAGGCAAAGCGCTGCACAGCCACCCAGTATTTACCTGCGGGGGAAGCCAAAATGAGGAGGTGCCGGGATAGGGGTGCCCCAGGTCACCGGGCTTCCCTTGCAGGGAATGCACACGTGGGACATCACCCATGGATGATGATGGAGGGCTCCACTGGGGTCTTTCGTGACAAGTGTCCCCTTGGAGGCCAGGGGGTTTACTGGAGAGGGGAAGAAATGCCGACTCCCGGCCCTTCCCCGCTGGTGAACTGAGCCCCCCGGCCCTGCGACACTCACTCTGGACCTGGAGCACCGTTTCCAAGGAGCGCACAGCGTTGGGGTTTGGTTTCTGCCTCATGCTTTCTTCTGGGAGAGGGTCCAGCTGCCACATGAAGACACGAGGTGGGGATCAACAGGAGGGAGCTGTGCCCAGGGCTCGGCTCGCAGCATCGGGGGACAGCCCCGCAGCCACCACCCCCGCCTCAGCTCTCACCTCGTTGCCCAGCAAGGCCGACACGCAGGCCTCGGAGGCGTCGCAGATGGCCGTCAGGTCATGGCCACCTTCTAGTGCGAGGACGATGGCTCCGCCAGCCAGGCTCATCAGCTGCTTCGTCATGTAGCCGAAGCCTGGAGGAGAAGCCCAGGGGGGGGGCGC